TGCCCCCAGCCTCCCGCTCCAGGAGCCCTCCCGGAGCCCCGACGGCAGCCTGGGGCTCAAGACTTGTGTGCGGCGGCGACTCCGGGGTACTGGATGTTAGGGGGCCACTCTGCGTCTCCGCACGGTGTGGGGGGTCCGCGCACCGCTCCCGGAGGACTGTCCCCGCGTCTGAGCGCTGTGGTGGACCCGCCCCTCCCCCTCCCCCACCCCGAGAAGGAACACTGTGTAGACATGCGGTTAGTGCGCGGTATACCTTTCCCCTTGTGCTTCCTGTTCTTGGCGAAAGGTAATGGGTAATTAAGGAGACACACGATGGGATGATGAAGGGAATAAAAGGTGATTTATGGCAGGTCAAGTTGCAACTCTGGTGTTTAAAACAACGCCATTAAGCAGGAGTTTCCAGCAGCAAACCGCCCGGTGCAGGCCGCCGGGTGACTCACGGATCTGGCCCTGAGAGAGCGGGAGAGTGCGCGCCGTTTCCTGTTAGATGGCCTGACCATTGCATGGCTCAGGTTAGAAGGGTTCGCCTCCCGCCTGTGGCAACCTGGCTGGCGGGCCTGGGGGGTGCTGCCGGTCAGGCACACCTGGCTGGGAGCGTGATGGGCCGCTGATCCCCAGATGTGAGAACATCCGGGCCCAAGCACCCCCTCTTCTATCACCACCTTAGACTCGCGCCACATGGTCCTGGCATCCGCATTTTTCCCCCCCATGAAGCCACTTCTCCTCACCCGCTCTCCTGCGAAATGGCCTGCTTTTGGCTAAGAAGCCCGTCAGTCCTCGCACGTCCAGTCTGCACATTCCACTTGAGGTAAAGGGTGCGAGCGCTTTGTGAGCAAAACGAACCCTTGACCCACCCGCAGCGAGGAAGTCACTGAAATGAAGGTTTTCTCACCACAAAGGTGGTTCCCCGAGAAGCGTTCCGAGCCAACGGGCCCTACTGTTCATCGCCAATACCTTCCTTCCAGGGACCTGTGCCCTGTTAGCCTACCCATCCAAGGTGCTCGGCGTGAGGCAGATGCAAGCGTGTGTCTACTCACCAGTATTCCTGCTGTTTTAAATGTTTATAGTTGTTTTACGTGTTTACGGTTGTGCATACAGGAAACAGAGTTCATCCTGGTATTATTTAGTAACTAGAGGCCCGGTGCACGAAATTTGTGCAAGGGGCTCGGCCCTCGAAGCCCCGGCTTCGTCTGGAAGGTCATAGGATGGTTTTCTGCTGTTTGGTCTGATTAGCATATTAGCTCTTTGTAATATAGGCTTATTGTATTCCTCCCGTGGAACAGGGAAGCCTGCGTTTGCCCCGCCTGGGATTTTGATGATATTTTCTTAGGCCTCGGGTCACTTGTGATGTGGAAGATTTAATAACTTTGAAAGCAAATAATTTAGATGATTTCTTCCCTGTGACATAAATCTGTCATGTTACAGCAAT